GCAACATTTCAGCCGTATCATGGCGAGAACATATTTGATTTTGAAGTGGAATATATGTATATTATAAAAATCTGTCGACAAAGGACAGTAAAACAACTAGAATATCACAGTTAGAATTAAACCTAGCGTGGAAAGTTTAAAACTAATAGCACTATTAGGACAATACAATAGTAAAAAACAGGTTATGCTTGAGATCGCCAACAACAGCAGGTAGATAACCATACTAGGGACCATGGGGACTTACAGTACCTTTGCTACCTGCATGGACCCTAGTTGGATTTACACCATCCCTTCAGCCGTTGGCGATTATAAGAAATGTTAGCCAAAATTAATATAACACGAATACTACGTTTAAAAATCCTGGTTAGTTTAAATTGACTTTCAAAGTTTTGGGACTTACGGACCCTCTCATGGGGACAATAATTTCACGATACTTCAACCCCCCTTGAGGGTACAGCCACTAACTATCTAAGTTACTAATCAAAACTACCAATCATTCAAACACATCTATCTACAGAACATATTTATCAAAATTCATTAATTAAATCAATTTCTTTTAAAAAAGCAAGAATTAAATTAAGATGAACAGTATTAAAAAGATCCTTAACAGTTCTAACATTGAAATATTTATCCCTTATGATGGAGAATTCAACACAGTCAAGCAGGAGATGCTTCATTGTGACTCTCTCATCACAAGGGATACAAAACAGAGGATCTTCACCTTTTAACAAATATTTGTGAGTTTACCTTGTATGACCAATGCGATATCGTCGCATGATGACCTCTTCAAATCTGGACTGACAACCCCTGTAGATATGTTAAAGAGTCAGTAAGTGTGGTTTATACGCCACCTTTAGCAATATTCCAGCAATATCACGGTGGGGGACACCAGAAATGGGCTTCATATACTTTACTCTTGTGGGGAATCAAACCCGGGTCTTCAGCTTGACGAGCGGCCGCTTTAACCATTAGGCTATCCCATCTCATCGATATGTTAACCGATTTTCAACGGTAACCGGTTTGCAGGCGAGAGTTAGTGATTGTGTATGGTGTTACGCCACTTTTAGCAATATTCCAGCAATATCACTGCGGGCTTCACCAGAAATGGGTTTCACACCTATGTGGGAATCGAATCCGGGTCTTCAGCGTTGGCGAGCAGAAGCTTTAACCACTAGGCTCTCTCACCGCTCCATGCATGAGGATATCTAATATATTTAACTTGTAACTGTTGTCCAGTTCAAGACACTACAGAATATGTGCACCTTTCAGCAACATGTACGGCTATGTTAAAGGTGTTTGCTTTACTGCCAACATCCTAACAACACCCTCAACAAGACGACCTAACGTAGCTGTAAAATATATGCTTAACTGAAACTGAAAACATGCCACAATGCATAACCACTCGTCAAATTACATTTATTTCAAATAATAAATTGATGGGAGATACAATGATAATGATACATTAAATGAGTATATGGATCCAACATTTCCATACTACGCTTATTGTGATCATGGTCCAGTGATCAGCATGACATACCATGGCAAAACAGCGTGTTGAGTGGGTTAATGGATTTATATTACAAAAATAAACAGGCGCAATTACAAATACATGTGTGTGATTTTATGACAAGATGCCAAGGATCAGGAATGCGTAATACAACAAGTGGCAGTACAGATATGTATGTATCGTGATGTATTATGATGTAACGTAGCATGTCAATCTTGTTACGGTTTTGTTCTAATATAGCCCGTCCGGAGGCAGTATCTTTGGCATTAATGAAAATGTCAGTGCCTCAAGTACGCACATGTATATGCATATTTGAACTTTCCGAAACTGTAGGAGCGTGATGCTTGATATTGCTTTTCTCGTATATATAATTTTAACACAATTTATGGATATTTAGGTGCTGGAACATTGTTATGGGTACATGGCTTTATGCAATTTTAAAACAAAATTTCATATCGAGAAGGAGGCCAGGAACTGAATTCTCTCCATGCTGGAAATCAGACTAACATCTCCAGGGTTACAGCTGCAACCACCAGAGGTGAGGTGAGGTGAAATTGAGTTTAACGTCGTACTTGAGAATATTTCGCTCATATGACGACGTGCATGCGTGTGTATGTGCGGCTGCTTGTACTAGCTCAGACTGAAGCTGGTTTTATAGTGCTAGCCCACTGAGATACCATGCCGCAGTCAAGCATGAATACCCCACTGAGACACATTATACTGACTCCGAGCTGACCAGTCCGTGTTGTACCCATTAATGCCGAGCGCCAGACAGGGACCAACAAGTACCATATTTTAACGTCTTTTGGTATGACGCGGTCGGGGATCGAACCCGCTATCCGTGCAGACGCTCTAACCACTACACCACGGAGGCGGTCCAACCACCAGAAGTATTCAGGGAGAAATGTTTCAAATAATATCTACTAAGAGGTCATACACTATTATGTATAATTATATGTAGTATTTCAGTGACCATATTAACAGTAACATGGCTTGGTACAGTTTTCAACCCTTATGTCACATCGAGGAACGCCAAGACTTGGCCTCACATAATGCATCCATGCCGAGATCAAACTTATACCTTCAGGCTACAAGCAAACGTTTGAACAGCAGCTAATCATTCAAAGAGAAACATTACATAGAATATCTACGAAAGGTAATGTACTGTAGTCTAATACATGTGTTCGAACGTGTTCAGAAAACCCCATTCGGTAGGTTTTGTTGGATGGCACCAGGTTACACATACAAGAAAATGGCAGATGGCGAGTCACAAGAGAATTGGAATTCAGTGCCTCGCAGTGTAACGTTGTACGTCAGTTCAATGTCAGGAATGTCAACGTCACTCTGTACCACACCAGATACCAGCACCATAGGGTCTGCTAATCCGTTACAACTCCTCCGCAAGACACTGCTTCGTATCGTCGACACAATTTCCTGACATCACCCTAGCAACAGAGATGTAACTGTGAGGATAGTTCGACGATGTGTATGCATCTACTGCTTCCATGCAACGTTCCCAACCAGACCGCCAATCTGACATCAACGTCAGTGTCGCCAGAGGTACAGACTACAAGACGGCGGAGAAGGATCCGCTTCACCTTTACATGTTTGTTCTTGGAAAACCATCATGACAAGAGAAACCTGGTACGGTAATCATAACATGATGACAGAACAGTAATAGTGACACGACGACAGAACAGTATTAGTGACATGATGACAGAACATTTATGGTGACATGATGACAAAACAGTAATCGAGACATGATGACAGAACATTTATAGTGACATAATAATGACAGAACAGTAATCATGACATGACGAGAGAACAGTAATCGTGACGTGATAACAGAACAGTAATCGTGACATAATGACAGAACAGCAATCATGACATGACGACAGAACGGTAATCGTGCCGATCATATATTGCTTATTATTTCCCTTAAGATAAATTTGTTGAAGTCTGATTGGTCAATAGCCAAAGCATTCGAAACCATGTAGGCGGATTTGCCAGTGTGTGTCAATATATATATATATATCCAAAAAATATAATGCTTCTCTATTTCACTTGTCGTTTAACAAAACCTCAAATTCGTTCGTTGTTATTATAAACTAAGCCATCCAGAGTTATCCCCCTTTATGGCCGTTCAGGAAAACTCATAGCAAAACGTTTTGCGTCTCATTCTGCCGAAAGTTGATGTTGTTGTTTAAAGATAAGCTCAATTAAAATATCTTAAAGGTAATAAATTCGTCACATGGTGTTCCTCAGGGAATACGGAATTAACAAGAGTCTTACAGTCCCGTACATCCTTTCAAAACACAGTGCAACTAATATGATCACAGTTCTTAACAACAGAATATATGTGGCTCGAGTTGTTTAGTACTTAGTAGCCTTACGTGAGATTCTCACGTGGTTCCACATTCAGAAATGTCTGTTCATATACTCGTGTAACAAGAACCTATAGCAATGTCGATCTAGACAGGTCGCTTTACAAAACTGTTTTTGATTACTTTAAATGCGGCCCTGATGATCTTCCGCCATATTGACATAAGGAGTGGAATTGTTAATTTGTTCATATGTGTTCTCCACAACTGGATCCTTGGTAGTCTCGTCTAGAGATATGTAGTTATCTTCTTGTTTCTTTTGTAAGACACCCAGTTGATTCTTCAGTCTGTAATATACAGGAATATTCTTGGATCATCCGGGATTCGAACCCTCGCCTTCCGCGTAAGGGACATAACCGCCAGCACACAAAGTCAGCGTGCTAACCACCACTGATGTAAATTTATTCAGTGGAGTTCTGTGTGAAATGTGAAACGAGCTAAAATGAATTAGGTACCATTAATGGTTATATAACCAAGCATGGAGGGACGTCTCCAATGCAGAATCATTTGCATTAAATCTATTACTATATATTGCCCTGTACCACGAGTCCTCTTTCTAAGTCCATAATATTACATCTTTTCCCTTACCTTCTGATGTAAATGATGGCTGTCAGCAGAGCGATGAGAGCCAAGACGAGAAGTGTCCCAAGTGTTGCTGCAACTGGCACTACCTGGTTTGAGTGTCCTGAAGTTGCCGGGCACTCTGTATAACCTAGTTTGTAAACACAATACACCTGGTTGATATAACTTTATATTTAATATCTGAACGTGTTTTGTTATCCACGAGAAACGGGTTACTCTGTGTAAACAGATTCAACACTTCTAATTTGTTCAGTATATAACTAACGCTTACAAATCTACACATACCAGGTCTATACCGCTTTAGAAAAGTATTGCCATATATGCGACCGTTAGTGATGTACACAACAATGACATCCTGCGATAGCATTCTTTCGACCGTAAAGTTAGGGTTAACAGTTTTCAGACAGTGATTATGGTTGTTACTCGAAATGGTGCATTCCCCTGTTCATTTAATCTAAACCTATGTCTCTTGAAAAGTTCAGACCAAAAGAACACACTTACCTCTGCAACTGGGCACCCTGAATACCCTCCATCACATCCACTCCCCGCAGGTTCCGTTAGTTTTTGTCACACACTGTGCCGCTCTTGCAGTGGCCACATTCTGACGATGTACAACCGCTGCCGTACCTCCCGTCTTCACACACTAGCAAATAACCAGTATGGTATCACAAGTCTCTCATTTACATGTCTGTTTTGTGTCAGAGGATACGGCTTATATGTACGTGCGGTCTTTACGAACGTTAGCCGTGGAATATGTAGTTAATGTAGATACAAAGCCTGGACTTTCAATGACTAATCGGTACAACGAGGGAACAAGCATTGTAACGGATGAGCCATGAATTGGAACCAAATTAACCATTTACTGTTATGACACGTGTTATTCATCCACCCTGCTGCACATCCGTTGGGACATATTCCCGTTTACTTGTTACATATATCATTGTACCGTAGTAACCACCTGGACATGCTGTGAAAAGAAGTGCACTACAAATGCAATGTCACGAAGCAATGGGTATACTGTTGTGTAAGGATACTTTATGTCCTTTTCAAACAGAACTATCTGCTCATCTCCTTAATTTTCCTCGTACGAACTAAGGCTGTATGGTGAGAAAGCCTTAATAGTTTACCAGAATCATAACGAAATATATTCATGTCATATACTGCACAGGAACGACTTACCTTGATTACACGTGTCGTTGATCCACCCTGCTACACATCCTCCAGGACATTTTCCATTTGTCTTGATGCAAACATCACCTTCCACACAGTTGCCACACTGGAAGCCACAGTTCGGACCATAGTAGCCACTCGGACATGCTTTGAATATAAAGAAATTGTTTCCTGATGAGACTAATGACTGTCGAAAGGACGTAGATGAATAGGTGTATTAATTACCGCCTTCACTGCAATTCTGACAAAACGGAATTAGGAACACTAATTAGAAACATCAAGAAACACAAATCTTTGAAGGGCATTTAGAAGTTGAATGATATAAGAAAAGCAAGATATATGGATGTCAACTTCATTGTTGTAAATAAAACGACGTTACTGCCGAGTGTATACTTGCTAATCCGAAACGTCGTGTTTATCACAATGCAGAAGTTGACATCCATGAATCTTGCAATTCTCAAGCAAATAAACATACACTATCGTTACTTCAGTGGAGTAATTATTAATCTTAAAACACGACTTTGTACAAGTATTCTATCATTATTAAATGCAATAAACATATCTCATGGAATTCCATACATTGAGAGGGCAAATATTACCAACATAATTCTACATAGTATAGCATCTATACTCACGGTGAAGACAGGTGTTGTTCATCCATCCTTTTGCACATCCTCTAGGGCACATTCCCGTTGACTTGTGTACTGCTCATGACCATCAAGGCAGTTTCCACACCGGAGGCACAGTTCAAACCATACCATCCATCCTGACACGCTGTACACAAGTATATCACGTTAGTTATGATGACAAACAAGGACAATATTATGTTGTTCGCAGCGTTCATCTTTGTGCCTGCGTGAAGTTTCAGACATACATTAAACAAACCTGTAAATTACCAACCGCATGTTATGGTCCTCTCAAGCTCTCTTAAATCAGTAGGCCAGAAACCATGAACCTTTGGACAAGGTGTCCAATCCTTTAACCAACTTTCCTCAAGACTGAAGGACAAGAGGGGTGACTGCCTGTGACTGTCTGTCAGTGCTCCAGCCTCTCCAGTCTTTAGTGCCCGTGATTCAAACGTTTGAGGTGCAAATCAAGTATACTCGACTATGTTAATGAGAGAGTCCAGGACAGCTTTCTCTAAAGTTACTAAAGCAAGGTTAGAGCAGTAGATGTTTCAATAAAGCGTTTATAAGATTTAAAAATACACACGAGGAAGATTTCTTGATAGTGATTAATACGTTAATGCTTATCAAATAATTTTCTTCGCAACACAAATCCAAGAATCATAGAGAGGGGGAAATTTGAATTTTAAACCATCGCAGGGTCAATAATTATTGAAAGAATTTGGTTTATAACTTTTACTAATTTCAATCACAGCTAATTTGGAACGCATAATCAATAATATCTATAAGCCAATTGAGATAAGATATATCATCTGGGACTATGCATAAAGCCACGCAATTGCACCCTGACACCAGAGGCGTGTTCAGAACCGCGAGCGCCCGCGCGATTGCCTCCCGCGAGCGCTCGGATCGGCCCTGAACGGACGCGAGCGCTTGGTTACAATAAAACCATTCGTGACCAACTCGTGTTGTTCCGGGACAAGCCGAATAGCTTCTTTTATTCTATTCTTAAGGGTGAAATACTGACATATTGGTGAAAAGAAAGATGGTATTTTCATTTTCACTGAGTAGTATATCACTTTTGCCTGGAACTACGAAACACGAACTACGAAATCGATGTCTCGATCATTTATAAACAATGATCAAAATATAATAAAAAGAATATATTTTGTTAATGTCAATGGTTACGCCACTCGTGAACATATCAACTTTGTCAGACCACTCGATGAAATATACATGTTATATGACAACATTAACAAAATATCCTCCACGCCTTCTTTTTGGAGGTTACGGAAAGGGGCGAGTGGTGACGAATGACATTAAACATGATCGCCATCTTGGTTCGCTTGGCGAGGCAGCTGTGAGAATTGTTCGCGTGCGCGCGCGGGCGCTCGAGCGGGCACAGGCGTTCAGGATCGAGCGCTCGCTAGCGTTCGCGGGCGCTCGCGGTTCTGAACACGCCTCAGTATAGTCTTGTCACAAAAGGCAGCATTGCGGCAGTTTCCACACTTGGAGGTGCAGTCTCCATAGTATCCGTCCTGACACGCTGTACATGATGTAAAACAATAAGTTTGTCAACTACATAACATGTTTCAAATAGTATGAAACAATTTAGATGTAGGCAAACATATTATTTTCAAATAGTAGCTTCATCCCCGGAAGGCAATGGCAATATTTAATACTGTCCATATATATAAAAAATCAATGAAGAGATTATGTTTTATGTTCAACCAACTTCATATACAACAAATTATGCTTTTTCAAAGCAATAAGGTTTTGTTTGCTGATTATGTAACGTTGCTAGGGCGTTAGTATGACTTTATTGCAATTGTATAACTTGCACTCTCCACCAAGAGCAATATTCTAGCAGCTCATGATTTAATGTCTTCATAACTTTTATGTTGTAATCTACGAAATTACCGAGGGATTCCATCGGCTCTTGCTCAAAGTATACTTCATGCAGGATACAATGTTCTATTTCATAAGGTTTTATGATAGAGACATATGGGGACATTTCCCAAGTTAATGCATTAGTAGCATAAACTAATGACCGAGGCAATTCCCTATTTTGAGTTAGCAGGGTACCTGTACAGTATTTCATGATCATCACAATTTCATGGTGATTCATAATCGCATAATATAGCAGCTGCTTTTAGAAACTGTTTTTTTCCATATGGAGACAGTTTACTCATGCTTGTGAAAGTATTCTGGGAGCATGCATGACACCTCACATTTGCAATTTGAGGAATCAATATGTACTCACGTTGAAGACAGGTGTCAGTTTGCCACCCTGGTTCACAACCTCCAGGACAGGTGCCTGTAGTCTTGTCACAAAAGGCAGCATTGCGGCAGTTTCCACACTTGGAGGTGCAGTCTCCATAGTAACCTTCTTGACACGCTGTAGGTGGTGCAAAACAACTTCGTAATGATATGTTTAAAATAATCTGATGCAATTTAAACATAGACATTTGCAAACAGAAGGTTCATCCCCGGAGGTTAATGCCAATATTTAACACTATACACCGAGATACCTACTTGAATGGTACACAACTGGAAACATAAAGGAGACATTGTGCTTTACTTTCAACCAATTTAATATATAACACTTTATATGGATTCGTTTGGTAGTGTATGTAAGGCTCAAACCCTGTACCTGTTTGGCAGTCCGTCCCCATGTATCCTGGAGCACATCCACTCAGACACTGTCCAGTGATCTTGTTACATACTTCTGTGTTTAGTGAACAGTGACACTGTATTTCACAGTCCTCACCAAACCAGCCGTCACTGCAAACTGAAAATAACATGATAATAACAGATAACTGACGTGCAAAATAATTGGCAACATCAAAACCAAAGTACAAATCAGAATTCGTGATAAATGATAATCAAAATTGGGAAAGGAGTTAACAATAAAATCTATCACCGTGATAAGAAGAAAACAGGAAGATAGTCCTTTATTATATACTACTACTATGAAATAAACTATACCATTGTTATGTATAATGTCAATTAGACCAATACAGTTTCCCAGCTTCAGGCTAGAATCGATGAGTGTTGCAGCCCTATGTTGATCGAGCGTTTGAATTATTGCTTTTTCATCAGTTCACTGAGCAAACTTTCAAAATAAATTGCCAGAGTTAACTTGAGACTGGCACATTACATCGAGCAGTCGTCTTAATAATTTAGTTTCAGTTTTGCACACCTGCTCACCTGCTCACAGACGTATGTTAACTTACCAAATATCTGCACCTCGCACAGCGAGAGATAATCGTGTGTCTGTATAGTCAGGTTGTTTCCTGTTAGTGCTTGTTGACATTTGATGTCAGCTATGGCAGGCGGAGAGGTGTCTGTTGACCACTCATAGCAAAGCTGACCACCAACATATATCTGCATGCCCTTGTTTCTGTCCAAGACTGTATTACAAAGTGAAAATATGCATTCTTTCATGTTAGGTCTCATGTCACATTTCATAAGGCAGTAGATCACCTGGCGACATATGAAAAAGTCCGCAAGCATTAGTATATACAAACACAGGTCCAGAGGGACAAACAAGTGTTGACTGACAACCCCAACAGCCATAATAACACCACGTCCGTCCGCAAGCACCTGTTATTGAGCATTACAAGAAATACGCCAACAAAATACATGATAATTTAATGATGATTTAGTCAAAGAGAATAATGGGTAGTTGAGCAATAGAAATAAAATATACATTTTCCACCCATACTCACAGCCCTCTCGTAGATACAGCTTAATGTGTTGTATCTTGTCTGTGTTAGAGTTGCTCAGATGAACAGTCCAAGCTGGTTGTGGATCTCCTATGGCTGTATGTGTACATGTGAATGGTTTGCTATACAAGGTGGTGGTAGTTCTGCCATCTACGCCGTACCTGGCCTCGAACCTGTGAACTGTATTCCCTGTCCTGTAACTGTTTTCAGCGAATGTACTGCTCTGTGTTGCACTTTGTCCTATAGCAATATTTCCTGAAGAAAGTGAAATCATGTACAACATCATCAACAGACGTTAATGGTGGAAATGACGGCGTTTGGTTCATTGTACGGTAACAGTTAATGCATGGTCGTGTATATTGTTTTGTAATGTATGTTTGACTTATACATAGCTGAGCTTTACAAACCCCTCATAATAGGCAAACGTGGAGTACGGATTGCAGATGTCAATCAGCATTTCGAAATACAAACACCACCGACTATAATATGAAATTATATTTTTCTTCGCAACAACTGAGTAATATATTGAGCCTAACAGTGAAACAACATGTTAAGGAAACTCATACAAAGATAGTACTCAGATATTTAAATTCATGTTTGCAACCACTGTTTATGCATTATTATCTTTATTTCAATAGCTTTCTCCAAAGTGTTAAATAAACAAGGGATTTGAGAATTAAGAAAAAAGACAGGGTGCGTATGAACGGTAAAACAAAATACACAATATTATTACGTCTCCCCATCATAGACTATTATTGGTCATCAAGTTTGATTAACATCAAACATTTGATAGTACTAAAAAGAATTTCGATAATAACTTGTTTAAATAGTAGAGTGTACTCAACTTTCAAACATGAAGAACATATTTGATCTGTCATACGTCCATTTGGAAAGACAGTAGTTATCAAGCTGTCATATTGGCTTTATTTTTTTCTGAACTGTGAAAGTACTTAAAAGAACTAGTTCCACAAAAATCCATACACGATTTTTTTATCTTGTGCTAAGTTTGGACTAATGACGTAAAATACTCTTTTTTTTTCATCTAACATTTGACATAAATCCTTCAATGAAAACATTAGTGTAATACATTAAAGTATTTAAATACATTGTATATAGTTTGATGATAGCATGCAGGGGAATCATGTCGGAAGCAGAAGTACCGTAAGTCCCCATGCTCTCCAGAAAGATGATCCAGCCTTGGCTGTTTGTGGTCTATAGCCTAGTTATAAACTGTACTACATGATATTGGGGAAGAAATACTTGGTTTAGTTGTGTTCGTATTTGTTATTTATGAACTGTGCTACCTAACCTATCTATCTAACCAGGCCTGTGTGAAGGTAGTATACAACACATTATGGCCAGGATGATCTGCCATTATTTGATGTGTCTATATATCTAAGTACACCACAAATGGACTCAAATCCATCTTTTATATTGATTTCAACCGTATGAAGTTGATTGATATAAGCCTGAATGAGTTCGATTATATTGCACATCGGTATCAACCAAATACAAATTTCCTCTACTCACGTCTCTGGCAGTGGGAACCAAACCATCCTTCCTGACATCTGTCTGGATCGCCGACCTGGCTACAGGTAGTAGAGGGGAACAAGGCACAGGCAGTAGTGGTGTTACAGTGACACTCGGCATCTGAAGTGATAATGAAAATAAGAAAATTACGTCATGTTTTGATACTGAAGGGATATGTACATTTATATATGAAAATATGAAAATAAAACATAACAAATGTTTAACCTTTCCGTGACTGACTTCTTGGTTAACTCCACAAAATATTTAATCCTAGCTAATGATACATGATATACGATGTCAGACAGAACTTTTATATCCAGGATGTATCAAGCACAACTTGGAAAATAGAACTAGATCAACTAGATGCATAGTTGATACTAATGATAGCATACCAATAGTGAGTGAGTGAGCTAAAATTTAAACAGTAACAAAACCACTAGCATATCACTGAAACAGAATGTAATCTAGCATTTATCTCTTAATTTTATTTATCTCAGAACAATAGTATTAAAACTGGCTATAAATCTCCAACAACTGAAAAGGACCACCATACATGTCACCATGGGGTCTTTTGTTACATCCATGGACATAGCATACCAATAACCATATTAAACGTCCTACCAGTGAGAGTCCCAGTGATGGAGAGAAACAACACAGTGGTCAAAAACCACGCCATTGTATCTTGGGTTTGTTTCTTGGTGGATGGAACCTGCAACAAAACAGTCATATTTCATACAATGAAATGCTTACTTACAATATCATTCGGGACATGCTTCTGCCCCCAATTTCAACTGGGGTGACCTGTGTGATAATCTCACAAACAATTACTAATTGGCACGCCAACGACTGAAAGACACGTGTTCACTAATCTGACCAATCACACATGTGGTCGTATATAAGTACAATTGTGTTGCTGAATGTGCATTTGCGATAAAAAGCTGTGAGCTGATCTTATCATGTTCAGCCAGCCACTTGTCCCAACCTCGTTTCTCGATTTCACCAAACAATGTCACAACAATACATCACCGTTCCTGCAAGTATACTATGATAAATCTCTGCTGACTAGACATGCAATTGATTGTATACATGGACGTGCATTTATTGCTATCTCAGCTTATTACACCGTAAAAGCATGCCGGAACTTTTGACCACCTGACTATATACTGAACCACAAAAAGAAATGTCTCACTGATTGGGGTTTCTTAAAGCACACACTTTAATTCACTCTAATTAACAATCAAATAGAAGAACTGAGTTCAAACTTGACAATTATGGTTAACACATTTTCGCGAAACACATTTAAAGTTCACACAAACAAAACCATAAAAAATGGTACAATTAAGATACCCCAAAGTCAGTATCGTGTGGGGCCTCTATGAGCATTGATGAAATCGTTGCATCGTCTGTACATGGTATGAATTAGCCGGTCGATGAAGGCCATAGGCACTTGGGTCCATACTCTGCGAAATGCCTGATCGAGTCCACCCGCAGTTGTCGGCCTTGGGTGGAGGCCATTCAGTCTTCTTTGAATCTCGTCCCAAGGGTGTTCTACTTGACTTAAAGTCGGACTGAGTGCAGGCTATTATAGGGTTTGGATGCCATGTTGTCTTAGGAAGTCCAATGTTGCTCTGGCAGTGTGGGCTCGACCGTTGTCTTGCTGGAAGAAGTCTCTTTCAACAATTCACTCATTGGAAAACATTTCACCTCGTCCTCGCCATACTCTCACTCTGCCATCAACTTTCGAAACACAAAATCGGCTTTCATGAGATGACGGCACAGTTCTCCATTGTCGATAACCTCAGTTTTGGCGGTTATGAGCGGTGAGGACAGGACTACGATATGATCTGTGACAGCAGAAGTTTCCTCCGCGCAAACGTCGACGCAATGTATCGGCACTGATGGGTCTGTTTTGAGACAGAAATGGTCTGGCGTTTCCTTCGCTCTGGGGAAGCGATCTTGCAGATGGTTGCGCACAGCCTATCATTCTTGATGTTGTGATGTTACTGAAGGTCGCCCACTGCGTTGGCGGTCTTGAATGTTCTTAGTGACCTGATACCACCCCTGCTGTCCTAACATGAACATTAAAATGATTGTCTACCCTCCATGCAGTCTGGACAACTTGCAATCGTCCCACGACTTGGTTCCTCTGATCTCTCGTAAGACGTGGCATAGTGCTTGTGTCAAAACAAAAATGATTTCAGGCGAGCTTGGGACCCGCTTTCATTGGTAGAGTTGTCATGACATGCACGTGCATTTTCATTTACACGAATGTCATACGGAACATTTTACCATGTCTGCCTTTTTCGGTGCGTTTGGTCGATATTCGTTTTCATCAGAAAACACACTGATGTTGGTAATAACTGTCAATTTGTATTGAAAAACATGTTAAGAAAACGGTACAAACATAATAAAAACACTACATGGCAAGAACAAAATTTTGCATTTAGTTTTGCAAAGCGACGTTTCTTTTGTGGTTCAGTAGATGAGTAAACATACCATTTAAACAGTTTCAGTTGCATCTTTGCTGTCGTTGTGCGTGTTATGGGCGCCTCTTTAACAATTGATATTATTACTTGGTTGTTGACATGTGTCAAATTGCATCGACTATGGTTACGATAGTATCAGCAAGGTGTGGTAGGTGGCATTCTCTCTTGTAGCGTCTTGTCAAATAGGTGTGGTAGGTGGCATTCTCTCTTGTAGCGTCTTGTCAACTAGGTGTGATAGGTGGCATTCTCTCATATAGCGTCTTGTCAACTAGGTGTGGTAGGTGGCATTCTCTCTTTAAGCGTCTTGTCAACTAGGTGTGGTAGGTGGTGTTCTCTCTTACAGCGTCTTGTCAACTAGGTGTGGTAGGAAGCGGTATCTCTTATAGCGTCTTGTCAACTAGGTGTTATAGGTGGTTTTCTCTCTTATAACGCCTTGTCAACTAGGTGAGATGAGGTGAAATTGGGTTTAACGTCGTGTTTGAGAATATTTCGCTCATATGACGACGTGCATGCGTGTGTGTATGTGCGGCTGCTTGTACTAGCCCAGAATTAAACTGGTTTTATAGTGCTAACCCACTGAGATACCATGACGCAGTCAAGCATGAATACCCCATACACATTATACTCCGAGCCGACCAGTCCTTGTTGTACCGAGTAATGCCGAGCGCCAGACAGGGACCAAGAAGTACCATATTTGAACGTCTTTTGGTTTGACGAGGTCGGGGATCGAACCCGCGACCTTCCGCTCTCAGGGCAGACGCTCTAACCACTACACCACGGAGGCGGTCTTGTCAACTAGGTGTGGTAGTTGGCGTTCTCTCTTTTAGCGTCTTTCAACTAGGAGTGTGAGGTGGCGATCTCTCATATAGCGTCTTCTGAACTAGGTGTGGTAGGTGGTGTTCTCTCTTATAGCGTCTCGTCAACTAGGTGTGGTAGGTGACTATCTCTTATAGCGCCTTGTCACTAGGAATGGTAGGTGGTGTTCTCTCTTAGAGCGCCTTGTCAACTAGGTGTGGTATGTTGCGTTCTCACTTGTAGCGTCTTGTCAACAAGGTGCGGGTATGTGGCGTTGTCTCTTATAGCGTCTTGTCAACTAGGTGTGGCAGGTGGCGTTGTCTCATATAGCTTGTTGTTAACTAGTTGTGGTAGGTGGCGTTCTCTCTTATAGCGCCTTATCAATAGGTGGTAGGTGGTGTTCTCTCTTATAGCGTCTTGTCAACTACGTGTGGTAGGTGGCGATCTCTCATATAGCGTCTTGTCAGGTAGGTTTGGTAGGTGGTGTTCTCTCTTAGAGCGCCATGTCAACTAGGTGTGGTATGTGGCGTTGTCTCTTATAGCGTCTAGTGAACTAGGTGCTGTTGGTGGCGTTCTCCCTTATAGCGCCTTGTCAACTAGGTGTGGTAGCTAGCGTTCTCTCATATAGTGTGTTCTCAACTAGGTGTGGTAGGTGGTGTTCTCTCTTATAGCTTCTTGCCAACTAGGTGTGGAAGGTGGCGTTTTCTCTTATAGCGTCTTGTCAACTACGTGTGGTAGGTGGCTATTTATTATAGTGCCTTGTCACCACGTGTGGTAGCTGGTGTTCTCTCTTAGAGCACCTTGTCAACTAGGTGTGGTAGCTAGCGTTCTCTCATATAGTGTGTTCTCAACTAGCTGTGGTAGGTGGTGTTCTCTCTGATAGCGTCTTGCCAACTAGGTGTGGAAGGTGGTGTTCTCTCTGATAGCGTCTTGTCAACTACGTGTGGTAGGTGGCGCGCTCTTATAGGGTCTTGTCAACTACGTGTGGTAGGTGGCGCCCTCTTATAGCGTCTTGTCAACTAGGTGTGGAAGGTGGTGTCCTCTCTTATAGCGTCTTGTCAACTAGGTGTGGTAGGTAGCGCTCTCTTATAGCGTCTAGTCAACTAGGTGTTGTAGGTGGTTTTCTCTCTTATAGCGTCTTATCAACTAGGTGTGGGTAGGTGGCGTTCTCTCATATAGTGCCGTGTGAACTAGGTGAGGTAGATTGTGTTCTCTCTTATAGCGTTTTGTCAACTAGGTGTGGTAGGTGATGCTCTTTCTTATAGCGTCTTGCCAACTAGGTTTGGTAGATGGTGTTCTCCCTTATAGCGTCTTGTCAACTAGGTGTGGTAGGTGAAGCTCTCTCTTATAGCGTCCTGCCAACTAGGTTTGGTAGATGGTGTTCTCCCTTATATCGTCTTGTCAACTATTGTGGTAGGTGGCTATTTATTATAGTGCCTTGTCACCACGTGTGGTAGCTGGTGTTCTCTCTTAGAGCACCTTGTCAACTAGGTGTGGTAGCTAGCGTTCTCTCATATAGTGTGTTCTCAACTAGCTGTGGTAGGTGGTGTTCTCTCTGATAGCGTCTTGCCAACTAGGTGTGGAAGGTGGTGTTCTCTCTGATAGCGTCTTGTCAACTACGTGTGGTAGGTGGCGCGCTCTTATAGGGTCTTGTCAACTAGGTGTGGTAGGTGGTGTTCTCTCTTTTAGCGTCTTGTCAACTAGGTGTGGTAAATGGTGTTCTCTCATATACCGCCTTGTCAACTAGGTGTGGAAGGTGGCGTTCTCTCATATAGCACCGTGTGAACTAGGTGATGTAGATTGTGTTCTCTCTTATAGCGTTTTGTCAACTAGGTGTGGTAGGTGATGTTCTCTCTTATAGCGTCTTGTAAACTATTGTGGTAGGTGGCTATGCCTTATAGCGCTTGTCACTAGGTGTGGCAGGTGGTGTTCTCTCTTAGAGCACCTTGTCAACTAGGTGTGGTAGCTAGCGTTCTCTTATATAGTGTGTTCTCAACTAGCTGTGGTAGGTGGTGTTCTCTCTGATAGCGTCTTACCAACTAGGTGTGGAAGGTGGTGTTCTCTCTGATAGCGTCTTGTCAACTTCGTGTGGTAGGTGGCGCGCTCTTATAGGGGTCTTGTCAACTAGGTGTGGTAGGTGGTGTTCTCTCTTTTAGCGTCTTGTCAACTAGGTGTGGTAAATGGTGTTCTCTCTGATAGCGCCTTGTCAACTAGGTGTGGAAGGTGGCGTTCTCTCATATAGCACCGTGTGAACTAGGTGATGTAGATTGTGTTCTCTCTTATAGCGTTTTGTCAACTAGGTGTGGTAGGTGATGTTCTCTCTTATAGCGTCTTGTAAACTATTGTGGTAGGTGGCTATGCCTTATAGCGCCTTGTCACTAGGTGTGGCAGGTAGTGTTCTCTCTTAGAGCACCTTGTCAACTAGCTG